AAAGATTGTTATGCTCGCCTTATGCTCTTAAACGTTCACATGCCACACTTTCCCCTGTAACTGTTAGATTCAAGTCCAGTAGAACCTCAGAGACCAGCAAGAATGTTGGGGTATGGACTTCCGATAATTAAAGCTGAGCTTCGGCTCTTGAAAGCTTCTACCCCGAAAATCTTGGTGGTCTTCAAGGTGCTGCTAGACTCAGATCTGACCGTTCTACTCTGCAGGCCCTCACGGCAACTCTCTGAAACGACCCTATAACCGTGATCCTCTCCCTGAGGATGGATTTGGGTGGGTTTCCTTCCAGTTAACTTGCTTTCGCAAGGCACCTTTAAGACCAACAAAGGCTTATTCGAGGTATGAGCTTTTGTGCGCAAGGCCCACTTTATCAAATACGGTAGAATGGCAGGCAAGGTTCAGACTTATAGCCAGAGAATGAACAGCACATTAAGATGCAACAAGATGATGATCAAGATATGCAGAGTGACACTAAACAACAAGCTAAGGTTATAGGGTCAACAGTTGCAAAGCAATAAATAGGTGCAACAAGCAGATAAATGTCTAAAGGTGTATTTGCTAATTGTGGGAAGTAACTGGGAATTTATTTATTTATTTATTTATTATTTGTTATTAATATTTTTTATGTTATAGTTATATTTTTACAAACATGTAACAATACCAGTGAAAACAAAGCAAGATACAATTGAAGTATAACTCAGAACAATTTGCAAAGTATGGCTTTAACATTATTGTGAAATCAGGGGTATCCCCCCCATACATCATCTATATGATTTATGTAATAACAACAGTAATATGTGAATGACAACAATAGTGATAGGAAAATACAGACCATTTCAACACTACACTCTAACTGTAGAGATAACATGACAAAAACAAGTAAGCTTCAATTCCAAGAATCATAATTATTATTACTTATTTATTACTTCCCACAATTAGAAAAGACACCTTTAGACATTTATCTGCTAGTCTGACATATTTATTGCTTTACAACTGTTGACCCTATAACCGTAGCTTGTTATTTAGTTTTCACTTTGCATATCTTGATTATCATCATGTTGCATGTTAATTTGCTGTTCATTCTCTGGCTGTAAGTCTGAACCTCGTCTGCCATTCTAAGTGTATTTGATAAAGTGTGCGTGCACATGAAAGCTCATACCTTGAATAAGCCTTTGTTGGTCTTAAAGGTGTCCCGCTGGACTCTAAATTTGTTGTACTGCTGCAGACCAACCTGGCTGACCAACTGGATCTTGCTTTCACTTAAGCGTTCCAGCATGTGAATGGAAACACATTGATCCTGGCCTGGATCTTAAACGTTGCAGCAGATGTAGGGGGTTGGTCTCATATCCCCTACTCTCCCCAGATGCATTTACAGAACACCTAACAGATATACATTGCACTTTTCTCCCCAGTGGGAGCCCAAAGCATCTTCCATTGTTCCAGGGGTCATGTCGTAGAAAAAGAGGTGCAGGAGCTGATTAGCATAACTCATTAGCATAGCTTATTTGCATATGCCACACCCCCTGACATCACTGGACGTGTGTCAGAAGGCAACACCCACCGATCAGGCTCCACTGGGCTGTTTTGGACTGCTAGCTATTGGGGGGGGGGGCGTGCAGATCTCGCAGAGGAGGGAGAGCTTGTACCTGAATAAACTTTGGTCTTAAAGGTGCCACTGGACTGTTTTGGACCGGGGGTGCTGGGGGGGAGCGTTGCAACTTACCTGGCTCCTTCTTGCTCTGACTGAGGGCTGCTGGGAGCAGGGGGTGGGGCTTGTTGCAAGTGCCCGCCCCCTGGGCTCTTTACTGCCGGAGCTCCGCTCCTTTGTGCTCCCGCAGGAAATGACCCCTGCATTGTTCTCTGCTCCTCCGTTTTAGCCTTACTACAACAGCCCCATGAGGTAGGCCAGGCGGAGCATGTGTGGCTGGCCCAAGACCACCCAGCAGATTTCTGTGGCAGAGTGAGGATTTGACCCTAGGTCTCCGAGAGCCTAAGCTGACACTAACAATCACACCATACTGGCTCGCTTCAGTGTATGGCAGGATTGTCCATCCCTGTAAGCAGCAGCCAGTGGAGTGTGTGTGTGTGTGGGGGGAATTTGCAGCGTTATGATGTCATGCTTTGTCTCTCATCATCTAAGCAAGCAGTTACAAGTTTGGACGAGAAGACAGAAGGCCGACGAGAAGACACAAGGCTGTCGTTTTCAGTGGCAGCTATGCGTCTGCTGTAAGGTTTCGGCTTTGCTTACGGTTTGATCAATAGGAACTATTTCAGGACACAAGTCAGTAGGTTAGGCCCAGTTCAGAGGTTATTGATGCAGTGTGGCAGAAAAACACTTTGGCAAGATCCGCATCTCAAGCCACACCAGTTAACACCTATGAAAAGGGACCACTTCCCTCTCCTGTGCTTGAGAGAAGAGCACATGGCCAGCCTCCTGGAGTGCACATCTGAGAAAACACCAGTGATTGCGCCACTATTCATGTATCGCAAGACAAATCTGTTTGTTTATTTTTAACGAAAATGGAAATGAATCTCAGTGTCGAGAAAATAGTATGCCCCCAGAATGTATTTAATTTTCTCACCTTGACTTTGGGTTTGGGGCTGTTTGCTGTCCTTTCCCCATCTGTCTGTGGATCGTTCCATGCTCATAGCAAACAGGTCTAAATAATTATAAACATTTTCACTCTCTTGCATAAATAATCGGATGCGATGACACAGATGCTGCTTCCTTGTTCTTCCAGCTTCAGTATTAATGCTCTCACGTTGCTTCCTCAGAACTCCCCTGTGGAACGAACTGCAGCCGCCCTTCAATGCCAATCATCCCCTGCTCCTGGCCGTGGATGCCGTGCAGTGCTACCAGTATTTGCTTGTGGGCTGTGAGTACCTCGGACGGTTCCTCCTCGGTTGCAAGGTTCAGGAGCCATGTGTGGCTCTGCCGGTAAACACTCCCCCGAACAGAAGCAGTTGCACTATCAGCTGCGTTTAGGGGGGTATTTACAGTCCTCCTGTGCTTTGGGGGGGGGTCTTCTATCCAAAAGGCTGTTAAAAATAAGATTCCCACCCCCCTATACATTTGCTACATGTCTTGTTCCATTGTAACAAGGTTGATTGTTCTTTATCTTTTTAAAAGTTCTTCGGATCTCATTAAAATGGGGTTGGAGACATTGGTGGTGGTGGTGGTGGTGGAGGTGGTGGAAAGCGCCATCAAGCTGCAGCCGACTCTTATAGTGACCCTGCAGGGTTTCCAAGGCAAGCGATGATCAGGGATGGTTTGTCATTGCCTGGCTCTGCATAGCCACCTTGGGGTTCCTCTGAGGTCTCCCATCCGAATACTAACCAGGGCCAACCCCACTTAGCTTCCAAGATCTGGTGAGATCGGGTTAGCCTGGACCATCCAGGTCAGGGTGTTGAAGTAATTAAATACGAGCAAAAGTGATTTTTTTTTGGGGGGGGGATGAAAAAGCACACGTCCAAGTTACTGGCCTAAATGACCCCAATGTGGTGAAAACTCTTGTTTAGGAATGGAAGAGCTACTCTGTGTTGATGTAACAATTACAATAATGAGGTGTTAACCAAATTTTTGTGGTGAAGGAAAAGAGCCATGTTAAAAGATATTAGGAGAAGGGGAGATGGCATGGTCTAGCCCGATCTAGTCAGATCTTAGACGCTAAGTATGGTCAGTACTTGGAAGGGAGACCACCAAGGAAGACTCTGCAGAGGAAGGCAATCATCTCTGCTTCTCACTTGCCTCGAAAGCCCCTTGCTTGGGGTTGCTGTAAGTTAGTTGTGATTTGAGGGCACTTTACACTCAAAGGTATTAGGCATCTGTGAAAAATTAACATGGGGGCCATATAGATTCCAGATACCATTTCTGTATAGTTGTGACAATTATTTGTCACATTAATTGTTAACCTGATTTCATCCTTTTTATATATAATTGGAATTACTGTCCGATAAATCCTTTTTAAAAAAGAAATGAGTGAATCGATATCTGTGTTTACAAGCACAAGAAAGTGTCTCCCCTAAGATTCCCTTTCAGTGAATAGTGTCTCTCCTGTCTCCTCCCCCTCCATTTGAACCCGGGAGCACCACCAGGGATTTCAGCTGCAGCAAAAGCACTGCCCCTGACTGCGTGCTGTCCTGGGCAGCCACCCAGGGCCTCCCCATCTCTCCGTGTGTTCACCGTCTTAGTGAGGCAACCGCAGAGCCGAGGCCTCTGTGATTCGTTGATGCTGCAGAAACTGACAACGCGCTGCTTGGCTCGAACAATTAAAAATGCGTCAAGTGGATATCTGGGTCAAAGGATTATATATAAGTCTCGATCGCAACTGGTAGAAGCAACGGTGATGCCAAGTGAATGATGTTGGCTGTGATCCAGCGGGAGATGCAGGCTAGAGCAGTAATTTCTAGAAACGAGTCCTGGGGCGCACTAGTGTGCCATCGGGGAATGGCTAATGGGATTTGATACCTCAATAACACATGTAATTAAATGCTCCTGTGAGCCTTGGGGAGAGAATGTTGGACTGGGGGGGGGGGGGCGTCCCAGGTTCAGATCCCTCAGCCACCCTTTTCTCTCAGGCTCACCTGCCTCACAGGATTGTTGTGAGGATAAAAGGGGTGGGCAGGGCAGTGAGTGCGAGGCGTATGAGCTGCCGTGAGTGCCTCGGAGGAAGGGCAGGACAAAAATATTTTTGCGTAGTCCGAATGCCCTTCCACAGCGGAGGCTGCCTGACGCGTCTGCACCGTTTACCATCCCGGCTTTCCCTCCTTCCAAATCACTCTCTGCCGGGTAAGGGTGATGCCACTGTCTCTTTGTATGAAGTGTGACTAGTCACGTATGATACAGAAGCACAGCAGAATTACTGTTGTTAGAGGAGGCTGCCTGCTGTGTCTCTGCATGAGGCATTACCTTAGGTTCACTGCTTTCCAGTCAAAAGGTACGCCGAGATCATTGACTCATGCAGAAACATAGTGAGTTTTTTTTCTAAGGGAGCATAAGTCGTACTCTTAAACTCTAAAAAATTGTGGTTTCTTTGGAGAGTGTTTCAGAGGGCAGCCATGTGGGTCCTCCGTAGAAGTGCCGAATTCAAGTCCAGTTGCATCTTAGAGACCAGCAAGATTTTGGGGTTATAAGTTTTCAAGAGTTTAAAACAGGGGTGGCCAAACTTGCTCAACTTAAGAGCCACACAGAATAAACGTCAGAGGTTTGAGAGCCGCGGGACATGAACAAATATTACACGCACAAATATGCAAATTCGCGTTTCATTAACATTAAATGAGACTGCCAAAAATAAAAGGGGTAAAAACAGGTACTGATAATGATATTGATCTGTCCAATTATATTTATTTGTTTTCTAATGATATTTATTTGTCTAAGAGAGAAAGAGAGAGAGGTGGAAAGAAAGAATGAAAGAGGTGGAGAGAAGGAGAGAGAGAAACAAAGCAAATAGATGGGAGGGAGGGAGGAAAAAGCACGCCTCCCCTTCGCTTCCCCAGCTGCCCTGCCGGGAGCCACACAATATATGTGAAAGAGCCGCATGTGGCTCCCAAGCCGCAGTTTGGCCACCCCTGGTCTAAAGTTCCCCCTGAGGAGCTTCAGCTCTCGAATGATATCTAACAAAGGGAGCTTTCACTCTCAAAAGGTTATACCCTGAAAATTGTGCTGGTCTCTAAGGTGCTGCAGGACTTGAATCTAGTTTCTTCAGCACTTCAGAGTGAAGAGCGCCTCCGATTTTAATTCAGGTACAGTTGTACTTCAGCTGAGTTGGATGTTTGGCGCACACCGCTCTGAAGAATGCAGCACAAACCTTGCCTGGATATCCAGGCAAGCCCGATCTTGTCGGATCTCGGAAGCTAAGCAGGGCCGACCCTGGCAAGTACTTGGAAGGGAGACCGCCAAGGAATGCCAGGGCCGGGATGCAGAGGCAGACAATCAAGCTACCTCTCCGAAACGTCCTAGCTTCAGTAGAGGCCACCAGAAGTCAACCATGACACTTGGGGAAGCTTAGAGCACAATCGCTGTGGGGGAAGAGGGCCGGAAGAATGTTATTGGTTTGGAAAGACAAAGAAAAAAAAGTAAGATTAGTGGCTCTGGATCATAGCTGTTGCCTCTGCTTGCCCATCTAGACGCTATTTATATTCAACAGAGTCTTCTCAAATGACCTTTTAGAATCTGCTTGTGACAAGCATCCACATACAAACTGATGTTGAGCTCAGCATTATGTAAACATACTCACAAATTCCTTCAGGTGCCCTGGTCATAGCTGCAATTGGTTCTATGCTAATTGTGAAAGTGAAGCAGATAGTGGACACCCCTGATGGGTCCTGTGTGACAGCTGAAATCTTTTAAAAGGCATGCAATTCGTTTGCAAACACACACATCGGCGTTGATGAGTGGTTTGCATCATTCCTAAAAAGGTGTCTTGGATATTAAATTCTCCTTTCTGTTCACTCAGTTACCTTTTTATCTCGTTCTTCCTCAAAGGAGCACACAGGTTCTCCCTTCCTCCATTTTATCGTCACAACAACACTTGGAGTTAGGTTAGGCTGAGAGAGTGTGATCGTCTCAAGGCCATCAGGTGAGCTTCCATAGCTCTGAAGACGGAGAAAGAGAGACAAGGAGGAGGGAAAGGAAGAGAATAGGGTTGGGAAGTTCCTGGAGATATGGGGGAGGAGCCTGGGAAGGCGGGGTTTGGGAAGGGGAGGGACCTCAGCAGAGTGTAATGCCATGGAGTTCACTCTCCAACGGAGCCATTTTCTCCAGAAGGAATTGATCTTTGTGGCCCCACCTGGAGTTGCCAACCCTAGAAGAGAAGGACACTCTAACCATACTCTGTGACTAAAACAGAAATAGAAAATGACCCGAGTTGAACACTGCTTGAATTTCCATTACAAATTGAACACAGTCATTGGCACTAATTCACTGGCTCAGCTCTGACCGCCAGCAAAAACATGGTTTGGTTAAACTAGCTGTGGATGGCATAATCATCCAAGAGCAGGCGGCTTAACTACCTATGGCCCCGGTCACATGGAGAACTTGCCGTGCGAAAGGCACGAATGTCCAGCGGATTTTCAGGGCGCGATCACACCACAACATCTGGGAAGCGTAGCACACCCATGGGCAACCCGTGGCGTCCTGCCGAAGATGCGGAGTTAAAAAGTACCAAGGAAAGTCCACTAGTATCCAGAAAACGCGCGACACAGGCAGGCGTCTGATCGCGGGAGCGCTAGTATCCCATGGCATCTGCCGCCCGTCCACATCCCGTCGCAAACCGGATGTTTTTCGTAAGCGCATGCTCACAAACACGAAACTGAAAGCAGTGCTGCTCTACAGAACTGCGCATGCGCACAAATGCAAAACGTTTGTGTGATCACGCCACACCGCTTCTTTGCCACGCTGCAGCATCGCCGTGTGATCGCCAGCTAACAGCCGAAGCACGGAGACTTGGGGGGCCATGGGATTGGGCTACCGTGCTTAATTTTGCTCCGGGGCAAACAGCCACACCTCCCCCCCCCCACGTTATCTGGCCCGTGTGACGGGGACCTATGTTCAGTTAGGGTACGTCTTCATCCTGGCTTGTTCCCTGGAGCTACCCTCACTGCAGTACAGCCTGGGATACCAGCTGTGTCTCTGCCAGGGATGCAAGGGAAAGAACAAAGGAAATGAAACCAGCATTTGCTGAGCCAAGCTGAGTGGAAAAGCCTCTGCTTGGGATGCAGAAGGTCCCGGGTTCAATCCCCGACATCTCCAGTTTGAAGGTTAGGAAAGGAGGTGATGTGAAAGAACTCTAATGGAAATCCTGGAGAGCCGCTGCCAGTCTGAGTAGACAATACTGACTTTGATGGACCAAAGGTCTGATTCACCACAAGGCAGCTT